CTGGCTCCAAGGCAGAGTGGCACATGGCAGAGGGAAACAGTTCATGGCGGCGAAAAACAGCAAAAGCAACAAGAACCAAAAGGGAGGAGCAGCGGCAAGCAGCCTCTTTCCCTCCCTTACACTGTGTGCAAACTACCTGCCCCAGGGCAGGTGTAGCACTCACACCCATAATTCCAACATTGGGCCATGAATGAATCATAAACTCTAGAAGTCCGCCCCATGACTGCATGAAGTTTGGGGGGACATCTAGACACAACCATAACCTTCTACCCTTGGCCCCCCAAGGACTCATGCACATCTCTTTATGCAGAAGACACTTAGTCCATCTGCAAGAGTTGCCAAGGTCCTAACAGTTTCAGCATTGCTGAAAAGTCCAAGGCCCAAGTCTCCTCTGAGATGTAAGGCAAACTCTTACCAGTGAGCCCCTGTACAAATGAACAGCTAAATACTTTCAACATTCAATGGCACAAAATAAACATTACCATTCCAAAAGGTATAAATGAGGATAGAGAACATTGGGGCCAAAGCAAGTCCAACATCCAACAGTGCTAACATTAAGTCCTGCGGTTTCATGTCCAGCATTTGAAGCAATCTGTGGCACATTGTGAGCTCCAAAGGGCTTGTGTGACTCCTATGGCACTTCTGGTGGTTACAGCTCCCGTAGCTTCTCCCTTAGGCCCGCTTTGCTCCCTCCTTGCAGCTTTCCTCAGATGATCCATGTTCTTGGCTTTTCCAACCTTCGGAGGTCTCCACTGAACATTTCACTTCACACTCACAGCTTCAAACCCTGCCCTCTGAGGGGCACACTGCCTGCCCTCCCAGGCCTTTTGAAATCAAGGTGGAAGCCTTGTTAACTTGAGAACGCTTGCATTCTGTATGTGCCTAAAACCAGCTTCATGTGGATGATGCCAAGGTCTGCTGCCACCTGGAGCAGCAGCCAAGCTCTCCTCTCTCTTGGCCACAGGGGTTGAGTGCCTGGATTGCTGAGCACTCTGAACCTGATTCTGAGGAACAAATTCTCTATGCTGTCACCATTCTGGAACCTGGTGTGGCCACTGCCACCATTCTGGAATACGGCACTCTGTGGCTTTCTTGTCAAAGCAAAGTCTTTCACCTTTGCAGTTTTGAGGCTGCAAAAGGTATTGATTTGCTGCTTCTTGTGATGCCCTTGGGCCATGTTTTCTATTCTCCT